CAACGGGAGCGATGAGGAGCAGTGCAGTGAAGGTAGGGAGGGGACGGTGCTGGGCTGACAAATATCTTCCTATATCTTCCCTATGCTTGAGCCAAGGCTGTTGGTAGCTACTTCTCTCTTATGAGGTAAGGGCACCAGCTGGGAATTAACATGCCCAACTTGCTCACAACGTTTGCTCTGTAGCTGACCAAGCTTGCCCGGGAAATTCCCTGTCATCATTTACAGAGTTCCTCCAGGCTCTCTGTTGCCTTTTTTCCCCCACTCAAAGGACTTCAGGCTGTGTTTGCAACCTGCTGCCCTCCCTCAGCCCTGGCTGCCCTTCCTCTTCACAGGGGTCCCCTGTGGTCCTTTCACCTACCGCTGTGAAGATGGGACCTGTGTGAAGAAACCCAACCCCTTGTGTGACACCATTGCAGACTGCAAGGACCTGTCTGACGAGAAGCGCTGTGGTGAGGAAATGCTCGGTCGCACGTCAGCCAGGCAGGTTCAGGATGCCATGTAGCTGCAAGTCGCCTCCTTTTCCCCCCTCCACCTGAGCATAAGCACCCACCCTCCCTTGTTCCACCACCTTCTCCCTACCCCAGCCCCACGGCAGCAGTGCCACTGCTCTCTCCTGCAGTGGCGGTGGCAGCAGCAATGAGCCAGCTCTCTGTGCTGAGCTGCCAGGAGGCGTTGTCTGCTCTTTGGACAGCTGGTCCCCACCTCCTTCAGGCAGAGGCATCAGGCCAGATGTCTCATAGGCCAGGTCCTACCCACAGGCTGCCTGTTGGAGCACTGTGCTGGCTCGTGTGAAGTAATGCCATTCTACAAGGCTCCAGCCAGGGAAATCACCCGTGACTGCATGGTCCCTGGCAGGGAGAGAGCTTGTGTTTTGATTTCCCTGCTTGGTATTTCTGGAGCCTGGGTGGGCAGCGAAAGGGAACGGCTGCGAACGTTCCCCGACAGGACAGCAGGTAGCACAGACCACATGCTGCCCCGAAGGCATCCCCAGGCTGCAGCTGGAAGTGGGGTAAGGCTGTGCGGGGGCATGCACTTGGAGGGAGTGCTCACTAGACCTGTCCTGGACAGTACATAAAGCATCTGCTGGCTGGAGAAGGCAAGGGATTAGAGGTCAAACTCCTCAGTCAGTTAAGTAGGAAAGGAAGGGCAGGCACAGTATATCATGTTCCCTTCCTCCCCTGAAGTACCTGCTGTGTCTCCTCCTCCTCAGACTGTGGGCTGCAAGCCCCCCTCAGCAGGATCGTGGGTGGTGCGAATTCTGTGGAAGGGGAATGGCCATGGCAGGCCAGCCTCCAAGTTCGGGGGCGCCACATTTGCGGGGGAACACTCATTGCTGACCGCTGGGTGGTCTCAGCTGCGCACTGCTTCCAGGATGAGAGGTAAATGGAGAGGGGAGGGTGCTGGACAGGAGAAGGATTTGCATTGCGCTCCATGTCACACATGATGGGAAGATTGTCCAGCTTGTGAAGATGTCACAGGGCATCTACACCCTTCATCTGGCACCCATGCCATGCTTCCCCATGGCTTGGAGCTGGAGAAAGGGGTATGGATACACCCACTGGTATGTGGGTGTGCATGCAGGGAAAAAAAGAGCAGTGCTGGGATTCACAGAGCAGCTTTGAGAGGGCAATGGTAGTGGAAGACACTTCACAGCTCCACCTTTGCTTTGGCTCTGGCTTGTCCCCATGCTGTCACAACCGTGGAGGCATCAGCATGTGCTAGGGTGGGGCCAGGATAGCACTACCTGCAGAGGATGCTGTTTGGGTTCCATGCTGCCCAGCTCCAGGGCCTGCCCTTCCAGGAGGAAGCATGGCCTCTCCCCCAGTTCTTTCCACCCAGTGTACATACCACAACAGTGGCAGTAACATACAGGTCAGGGGGGTTCATACATTCTTTTAAACTGGGAAGAAGTGAGGAGGAGGAAGGTCCACAGCTGTGCTGGGTGGGGGAAGGAGTGTGCACCCTCAGGCCCAGCCTTCACCTCCTCCAAACTCCCCTTTTCCTCTACCAGTGAGCCGGTGGGGATCCCCCACATCCCCAACTACTACTGAACTTCCCCAGCTGCCCTTCCCTCCTGATGCCATGTGAGCTCCGGGAGGAGGAGCTGCTGGTCATCCTTGGTATGATGACACCAGCCTTGGTAGGACCGGCACTGCTTTGCGGTTGTGCTTCTCACCTCACCCTGCTCCTGCCATGCTCCTACCCGTGTCCTACAACCCCACAAGGAAGCCCACCAGCACTGGGAGCAACCCTTTCAAGTGGTGCATGCGGGCTGAATTTGGCCATTTTGGAGTGTCCCAATGCAGGATGGATGGAGCTAACACAGCCCTATCAGATGGCACATGTGTGTGCCTGTCAGGGAGAGAATTTAAGTGGTGTGAGAGATAAGAAGTAGGGGAAAAAAAGAGGAGCAGAAGAACAGCAGCAGCCTGGGGTGTGCCATGCTATGGGCAGCACTCTGTGAAGACAATAGGCTGGAAGTGAGTCCTGGAGGGGAGTTTGGAGCAAGAGAGTTGGTCAAACCAAACCAGGGAGTTTTTCATACCCAGAGAGGCAGTGTGAGAGAAAATGGCACATGTAAGGCAAAAGGTGGACAGGACTCTGAGTCTAAAACCAGCTCTCTTCCTGCTTCCTCCTGCTCTGGTCCAGGATGAGGTCCCCTCTGCTTCTCACCCTCCTGCTGGAGACAGGGTCTCCCTCGGCTGTTAGCTCTTAGCTGTTCTGTTCTCAGAGGTGTCACTTTGTTAGGCTGTCCCCAGCTTTAGCCCCTGCTTCTGTAGAGGGCTGACATGCCTTTTAATGCCCTCACCTCTAAGCTGCTTTTCTTGCTTCACTCCCTCTTGGCAGTTTCTCAGAGCTTGCTCCCCTCCTTCTCCTTGCAGTTTTGCTTCACCAGCTCAGTTCTTGCTCTCTGCCCTATCCTAGTTGTTTACACACGACCAGCCCCACTTGCTTGTCTAGTCTACATACACTTTTTAGCCTGCTTTGCTAAGGAAAACAAGCAAACATGAGCAAGTTGCCTGTGTGTATGAGTGTCTGCCCAAAGTTGGTCCCGCTGTACAGGCATGTCAAGGCATCAAAGGGGTGCCCCACCTAGTTTCTTGAAATCAGTAGCCAAATAACAAAAGCAGCCCCTCTGAGGGAGATGATCATCCATATCAGAGACTCCTCAAAAGACTGCGACAGAAGCAGCCAGGCTCTGCCCATCCTTCTCTGTTCATGTGATGAGTTATCTTCTCTGCTGCATCTTACAGACTGGCCTCCGCGTCCATCTGGACTGTTTACTTGGGTAAATATTTGCAGAATGCCACCAGCCACACAGAGGTGTCCTTCAAGGTGATCCGCCTCTTCCTTCACCCTTATTACGAGGAGGACAGCCATGATTATGATGTGGCCCTGCTCCAGCTGGACCATCCTGTGATCATCTCACCCTTAATCCAGCCCATCTGCTTGCCTGCTCCTTCTCACCTCTTTGAGCCTGGCCTTCATTGCTGGATCACTGGCTGGGGAGCCCTCAAGGAAGGCGGTAGGTGCAAGGTCTTTGCTGGTGGCCTACTGTAGCAGAGCCAAGGTGGAAACAGAAGTTCAGATGTGGGGTAGGCAGAATAGACTTCTGTTCACCCCAAAGCATTATGCCTCCTTCACGCCCTTTGATTTTGGGTAACAGGTTGGCCAAAGTTACCTGTGGAGTGCCTTGAAACCTCATTCAGAGAGGCAGGCATGAGAGTCTGGTAAGCTATATGGGGACAACGTGTTCCTTCATCCAAAGACTAGAATAGGCCTTCAGGAATTAGGGGTCTGACCAGGGGCTATTCAGCCATGGTCACAGCATGGAGTAGTCCCAGTCCCAAAGCCCAACCACATGCCTACACAGACATGTGGGGTCCTGTTGGGTCATTCCGCAGGGACAGAGCCTGACCAGAGAGAATAGAGATGAAAAACTGCTCTTCATCAAACCAGGACTGGGTCTCCTGGGCATACCTGTCTGCAGCCCCTGCAGCAACATTTCCCCCATGCCAAGGACCCTAGGACCTGGATCCCCTCAGCAACACCTGCACTAGTAAATGCAACGGGAGCAGTGCAGGGTCTGAGTGCTGTCCCCCGAGGATCACACTGTATAATTGTCAGCATGCGCCCTGGTACCATTTTGGCCACACAGTGCCCGCACGCTGCTGGGGGACAGCATGGGCCAAGACCTGTTCCCATGGGGTGGTATGGATGAGTCCATTCTGTTTTGTAAGGAAGAGTTTAGCTGTATGGGCATGACCCCTCATGTTCCCTCCCCATAGAACCAACAAACAGGTCCAGGCTGTTCTCTAGTAGTGCATGGCACAGGAATATAGATGTGCTCACCCAGGTCAGCTTAGTGCCTTCACTCACACTCACACACTTGCTCCAATTGATTCCTAAATGGAAACACTCATAGGTCTATCCAGAAGTGGACACTTCTGGTTTGCATACTTAGCTGGAAGAACTCAACAACCATTTCAATGAGAAGCAAATCCAAAACTCTTAACATCTCAGAGGCTTCCCCAAACCAGAATCCCCCTTCTCCCAAAAGCTGAAGTACCCACAACATATCCCTGTAGAGAAAGGGACTGCAGAGGAATGTTATTCCTTCCATGAAGGTGAATTGCTCTGCTGAAAATCGGGGACTGTGATGCCAGTGGAGAGCAGAACAGTAATTCAGATGGCAGCTTTCAGCATGCAGTGAGATGGGCATGGGCTGGGGGATCACAATAAATGGTGGGAAGTTCCACCATTGCTCACCTGCACTGATTTTGGTGCTCTACCCCTCAGAGCACATCAGCAATGTTCTGCAGAAGGTGGACGTGCAGCTCATCCAGCAGGACATCTGCAGCGAGGCCTATCACTACATGATTTCTCCCAGGATGCTGTGTGCTGGGTACCACAAGGGCAAGAAAGATGCCTGCCAGGTGACAGAGGAGTTGTGGGATCAGGGTTGACTACCAGAGGTGGGGTGTGTCCCAAGTCTCCCAAATGCACTCCACAGCCTGAAACAAGGGTGAAAAGACCATAAAATGCCTGACATAAAAGTCCAACCCAACCTTTCCTCTGGTCTAAGTGGCCAGCAACAGCTCTGATGACCACTTCTTCACAGCATCTTTGCCTTAGACAGGATCCAAATACACTTAAACTTCTCCTTTTCTCATTTCAGCCCATTCTCCACTCTTTACCTCCCACTTCCAAATCTACATCAGCCTCTTCCCCCCTCAGCCTCATTAGCATCTGTCACACACAGTAACCTGTCTGTTCCTTCATTACTATCAATCTCAAGGAACTCCTCTGTCTCCCATCCCTCTGGGTAGCCAGTTAAATTCCACCAGCTTCCTTGCTCTCCATATATTTGGAAATGCCACACGGAGCAGAAGGAAAAAATAGAGCTGTCAGCTTCTTGGGAGCTGGCTAAGGGGGAGGAATTTGCATTGATGAAGGAATGCAACAATAGGTTGGGTGTTTGCACTGGAGACTGTTTTTGACATCTGCCTAAGGTACAAGGGATGTTGCAGATGTCCCAGGTACGAGTTGAGGGGATACAGGAATCTGCATACAGAGGGATTCAAAGCTAGTGTAATCATCCAGCAGGAGAAGCTGGTGGATCACCATCAACCCATTTTTCTTTCCCTTTCTCTAGGGTGATTCTGGAGGTCCGCTGGCCTGCAAGGAACCCAGTGGCAGGTGGTTTCTAGCTGGTTTGGTCAGCTGGGGAATGGGATGCGCACGTCCAAATCACTATGGAGTATACACCAGGATCACTCAAGTGCTGGGCTGGATGAACCAAACCATGAGCTGAGAAAAGTGCATCTCTGCCTTCTCCACATCAGACCTACACTCACATGGCACTTATTCCTGATCTTGCTCACTTGCCTCTCAGAGAGAGTTTCTGTGTGGGAGGTTGTCAGACCCAGGATGCTCTTCTGAGCAGGGTAAAAGAAGCCTGCGCTGGGGATTGTAGAGAAAAGCAGGCAGACCCTCTTCCCCCTCAGTGCTTCCCAGGGAGCATCCCAAGGTGTTTTTAGGCCATCCATCCAAAAGAGTTGGCAGCGGGGGTAGGG